AGCTTTTTTCACTGAGTAGCTGGTTCTCCAGGCACAGTCAATGTTTGTCTCGGTGCGCGTCCCAGGGAACAGCGAGTTAGTAACTTTTTTTAATTTCAAAAATATACTTTATTCATAAAAATATCCTTCTATGCATATATAGTTGGAGAGTAAGTGACAGCTGTACCCAGCTCTCAGTGACTGGGACTGGGTGGCAATGCTATCCTGTCTGTCTTGTTGCACCTTACTCCACAGCACTCAATCCCAGTCACAGAGGTGTTCTTCCTGCTTTAATAAACACATCTTCATCCTTGGAAGACCGCTGCTGCTGTCCCAGCTCTTTACATCAGCCCCTCCCTATCTGCTCTGGTTGCTATGGTAATGTGTCCCCCTCTGGCCAGAGCGTACTGCGAGCCCCCCACCCCCAACCAGTCCAAGTGCCTGAAGCTGATCTGCAGCACCAGCATCATCCAATCCCAGCCTGGCCCTGGTGGAACAATGGGCTGCATTGTACCTGGCCTCAGCCTTAGTCAGGGCTTTGTGACACTGAACCATCAGCCAGAGTCACAGACTATGCAGGTATCCAGTTCTATAGACAAAGCAACAACATGAGAGTTCTCAAGGAGATAGGCATCACGTTCGGTTCCAGGGTCCCTGGTGAAGAACTCTAAGCACCACCGCACCCCCCAACATAGATTGGACAAAAGAGCTGAATTTCGGAGGTGATGTGCGAATGACAGCCCTTCACATCGAAACAGCATTCAACCAAGAGTAGCGTGAAGAATTCCTCGCAAAACTGGAATTAATGGGAAGCAGGAGGCAAACTCTCCGCTGGTTGGAGTCATACCCAGCAGGAAGATGGTTGGAGATCAGTCATCTCAGCTCCAGGACATCTCTGCAGGAGTTCCTCAGGGTATATATTTTCTAAACAACCCATTCAGAGATGTTAAAACGCACTCTGAAGCAAGTGGGACTTAAACCCAGGCCTCCTGGTTCAGAGGTAGGGACACTATCACTGCACCACAAGTGTTCTTAAGGTAGTTCCTCAGGGTAGTGTCCTGGGCCCAACCATCTTCAGCTGCTTCATTGATGACCTTCCCTCCCCTCATTATACATTAATGATCTGAATGAAGTAACTGAGAACGTTGCATTAAGTTTGCAGGTGACACAAAGGTAGGTGGAGGGACAGGTAGTGTTTAGGAGATGGAGAGGCTGCAGAATGATTTGGACAGGC